GCCGCGAGGGCTCAAATGGATCTGCGCTGCCCTTACCTCCGCCTTGCCTTCCAAGAACCAACGCAAATGGCGGCAATTGCACACCCCGCAGCCGCCCAAGGAGCCGCGAGGTCTCAAATGGAGTTGCGCTGCCCTTACCTCCGCCGTGCCTCCCAGGAACCAACGCAAATGGCGACAATTGCGCACTTCGCAGCCACCCAGGGAGCCGCGAGGTCTCAAATGGACCTGCGCTGCCCTTACCTCCGCCGTGCCTCCCAGGAGCCCGCGAAAGTGGCGAGTGTTGCACACTTCGCAGCCTCCGAGGGAGCCGCGAGGTCTCAAATGAGTCTGAGCTGCACTTACCTCCGCCGTGCCTCCCAAGAGCCCACGAAAGTGACGACGGTTGCGCAGTTCGCAGCCCCCGAGGGAGTCGCGAGGTCTCAAATGGATCTGCGCTGCCCTCACCTCCGCCATGCCTTCCAGGAAACAACGCAAGTGGCGACAGTTGAGTATCGGCTAAGTGCGCGTACAACGAACATGGGGACACTTGCACACTTCGCAACCACCCGTAGAGCCGCGAGGTCTCGGCCGGAAGCGCGCTTCGCAGCCTCCCACTCCGCTGGACCTGCCAGGAGCCCACGAAAGCGGCCGCAATCGCGCGGTTCGCAGCCGCCTAGGGAGCCGCGAGGTCTCGGCTAAGTCTGCGTGACCCCGACTCCGCTGGACCTCCCAGGAGACCGCGAAAGTGGCGACAACTGCGCACTTCGCAATCCTCCCAGAAAACCGCGAGGTCTCAAATGGGTGCGCGTGGCCCCCGACTCCGCTGGCCTTTCCAATAGCCCGCGAAAGTGGCGGCAGCTGCGCACTTCGCAGCCACCCAGGGAGCAGCCAAACCTAAAATGGATGTGGGTGGTCCCGACTCCGCTGGACCTCCCAGGAGCCCACGAACCTGGCAACAATTGCGCACATCGCAATCCTCCCAGAAAGCCGCGAGGTCTCGGCTGGATGCAAGGGGCCCCCGACTCCGCTAGACCTCCCCAGAGCCCACGAAGGAGGCGACAAAGGCGCACTTGGCAGCCACCCAGGGAGCCGTGCGGTCTCAACTGGGTGCGCGTGGCCCCAGACTCCGCCGAACCTCCCAGGAGCACGCGAAAGTGGTGACGATTGTGCAGTTTGCAGCCTCCCAGGGATGAACGATCTCTCAAATGGATGCGCGTGGCCCCCGACTCCGCGGGACCTCCCAGGAGCCCACGAAATGGGCGACGGTTGCACCCTTGGCAGTCACCCAGGGAGCCGCGAGGTCTCAAATGGATGCGCGTGGCCCCGGACTCCGCTGGACCTCCCAGGAGACCACGAGAGCGGCGACAGTTGCGCACTTCGCAGCCGCCCAGTAGCAAAGGCACGAGCAAGGGAGGCGAGGAGGCAGAAGGCAGGAGGCAGAAGGCAGGAGGAGGAGGAGGAGGAGGAGGAGGAGGAGGAGGAGGAGGAGGAGGAGGAGGAAGAGGAGGAGGAGGAGGAGGAGGAGGAGGAGGAAGGAGGAGGAGGAGAAGGGGGGGGAATCACAGTGGAGACCACAGTGCTCTGTTCGAATCGAGAAAGCAGCACGCAGGAGAGCTGGGAATCATTTGTGAAGAACTCCGCAACGAAACCGCCGCTGGACCGCTGCCGGACCGGGCAGCCTCGGGTGCCCCGTGCTCCCCGTGGGGCGCCCATGTGTGCGCCCTGCTGTGCTGCTTACGAGGATCGTGGTCGTCTGGGCCGAACATGCAGCCGGCATCCACGCGAGGAGGAGGAGGAGGAGGAGGAGAAGGAGGAGGAGTTGTAAGGGAACCTGGAGCGAAACCGCCGCCGGACCGCTGCCAGGCTGGGAGTTTTCTCGGGCCCGCCGTCCCCCCATGTGGGACTCTCCTTGTGAACTTCGTGTGCACGTCGTTCATTTCTAGTCGTGCTCATTTCTAATTGTGCTCCTTCCGAATTGTTCCTTGCCCCCTAGTGGCCAGGAAGAGGCCCAGGATAGAACAAGCAGAAAAGAGAGGATCTTGGCCCCAACAAGAATCGAAGAACCTTCGAATACTTAGACATGAACCGTGTGTACTCTTGCGCACGGGGGTCGCGGCCGCCCGGAGAACACTCGCCGCCGGCATTTCAGGCGAGAGCGCGACTCCAGCATGAGTCGCCAGGGTCGAACATCCAAACCCCCTGGAGACCCACGTGTACCTCCGAACGTTTATGGCCATGTGCTCTGTTTGTCCCCTGCGGGACTGCCTGTCAGGGTCCTTAGGGACTTTCTACTGGTGCCCCTTTCGTGAGATCCTCGATTCGGGAACAAGCATCCTGAACATCCCAAACCCCCTGGAGACCCACGTGTACCTCCGAACGTTTATGGCCATGTGCTCTGTTTGTCCCCTGCGGGACTGCCTGTCAGGGTCCTTAGGGACTTTCTACTGGTGCCCCTTTCGTGAGATCCTCGATTCGGGAACAAGCATCCTGAAAATCCCAAACCCCCTGGAGACCCACGTGTACCTCCGAACGTTTATGGCCATGTGCTCTGTTTGTCCCCTGCGGGACTGCCTGTCAGGGTCCTTAGGGACTTTCTACTGGTGCCCCTTTCGTGAGATCCTCGATTCGGGAACAGGCATCCTGAACATCCCAAACCCCCTGCAGACCCACGTGTACCTCCGCACGTTTATGGCCATGTGCTCTGTTTGTTCTTCGGCTGCCTCGCCGCTGCACGGAGCAGCATTTCGTCACTAAGCTTAAGTCGGGCCTGTCCCCCTACAGGTGGATGTTCTACGACAGATAAAACATACCCCCAAAATAGTCAAACAACAATCCAAAAACAGTCTGGGGACTATTTTTGGAATACGTTTTGACCTTCTTAGGGATATGTTTGGGGTACGTTTTATTTCTCGTCGAAGATCCCCCTGTAGGGGGACACGCCCGACATCATACTACAAGCCGCCCTCGCCCGAGGCGGGGCACGCCCGAAGGCCGCGCCCCGAAGAAGGCCCGCGCCGAGAGGCCCCCCGAGAGGCACTCAGCCTCGGCCGGCGCAGCGCGGCTCCAGAAGCAGGCGCGCCCAGAGGCGCCGCCGGAGCTCTGCCGGGAGGAACTCCTCGGAGGAGGAGCGGGGCTCCATTCTGGGGCCAGCCATTCTAGGGGAGGAGGAGGAGGAGGAGCAGGCGGAGGAGGAGGAGGAGGAGGAGGAGGAGGAGGAGGAGGAGGAGGAGGAGGAGGAGGAGGAGGAGGAGGGGAAGGAGGAAGGGGGAGGGGAGGAGGAGGGAGGAGGAGGAGGAGGAGGAGGAGGAGGAGCAGGAGGAGGAGCGGGGCTCTATTCGTCGGGCCAAGCACGCGCACGCTGCCGCGCCCGCCGTGGGGGGGGGGGGAGATCTCGCCCCTGGCTGCCTCGGCCCGCTCCCTGCTGCGGCACACCATGCGTCAGGGCCCCCCCTGAGCGGGCCCAGGGCTGCTCGGAGCCCGATAACGGGTCAACAAAAGGAGAACTTCGGGTCGTGGATGCCACGATGGTGGACACCCTGACAGTCTTACCGTTGAATCTAAAATCTGCTTGAAATGTAGGAAACTGTTCTAAACATGTTTCAGGCATATTGTTTTACATGTCTGAAGCATGCTTGATGCATGTTTTAGACATCTGGGAATTATGGGGCAACACGCTTCCTCTCCATTGATCGTCCTCCACAATTCTAGGGCAGCGAAAGTAAGATGGTCGGACGTAGGACAGAGGAACATCTCTCAAGAACCTGAGACCCTCCCCTGGCCAAGCACCCTACGCCGTAAGACCACTCGAGGGTGCCATCCCCCAGAATGCACAAACACACATCCGACAGGCATGAAGAGCAATAAGGGAACCCTCCGCGAACCGACCTCGACCTTGTACCTCGGCCCTACCGTACATATACGCGATTCCTGGTCGCGATTGCTGGGCAAATCCAGGAAGCGAGGAGGCAACTACTGGGAGGTGTTCGCCAGAAAAATTAAAGAGGATTAAGCCCCATTAAAGAGCTGTTACGTCGGAAAGGGCCTCGAACCAAGCAGGATTAAGCGGGATTAAGCGGGATTAAGCCGGATTTAGCGGGATTAAACGGGATCAAGCCGGATTAAGCGGGATTAAACCAGATTAAGCCGGATTTCGGACCAGGGCAAAATCAGAATTTAACCTCCCAGGAGTTGCATCCGAAAGGAAGTGTCCATGGACGTGTGTGGCGGGTGGGTGGGGGCCATGGGGGCGGACTCCGGACGCCTCCTGGACGCCGTCCCGACAAATGTTCGAGCTGTGTCCAGCAGTGGCCGCGAGGGCTCCCCGGGAGGCCCCACAGAACAGCGCACGTCTGAAATACGCGTGCGCTAGGGGGCCACATGCGAACCCTAACCCTGCCCCCCACGATTTCTGAGGGGGAGGGTGGGATTCACTTCGCTCGGGAGCTCCCGAACGAAGTGGACCCCACCCTCCCCCTCAGAAATCGTGGGGGGCAGGGGTAGGGTTCGCGTGTGGCCCCCCAGCGCACGCGCATGTCGCAGCTGGAAGACGACCGAGCGAGAAGACATGGACGGTCATCCCTGCGCGGTTTTTTGTTGTCCGCGCAGAGGAAAGCCAGCCCGGGAGAACGCGAGAGATGTTTGGCGGATGTGTGAAGCATCTCGTCTCCCCTCTGCTCGCCCTTCTCCTCCCTTGTCCTTCCTCCTCCGTCACCCTGCGACATAGATGACGCTTCCCCCCTGCCCTTTCCCTGCGCACTCTGAGCCTCAGAAATGTTTGGAACCACTGACAGCAAGACTCTATACTTATCGACCGTTCCCTCCCCATGGCTTTGACATGCTGCTGCTGATGCACCTCCTCCTCCATTGGTCATGGGTCGGCGTGCAACACGACAGGCCTTGCTGCGGTTGACTGCTTTGTTTGAAGAGGGAAGGGCTTGCTGTAATGCTCCCTTCGTCTTTGAAAGGTGCGCAGAAACATACGGTATAGTCACAGAGGTGTAACGCTACAGCAGAACCCAGCGCTAGGCATCCGCTCCGTTAACAAGGGAGGTGCCACGACCGACGTCTCGAGCTTGATATAATATATCTTCGTCTTCCTCTTCGGTCAGGGCAAGATTTGCAAGGATTCCATCAAAACTTGCGTTGCTGACAAAGCCCGACTCCTCCTCGTGAAGCTCGGAACGCAAACAATTTGGAATTATCGATGGCGCCAGGTCATTATACACCACTGTCCCGAGAATGAGAATGAAAAAACCGATGAGTTGCAACCACGTGTGAGATGTGATACCGGAGCCATATTCTTCGGAGACGCCATAGTAGAGCAACAAGCTGACGCCCCAGACGGTCACAGTACGCGAAGAATCAATGAGACAACGCACAACAGTGGTGAACTTCTTGCCCACCACGATGCCTGACAAATTGTAGATCGCAATGCTCGCCGTGTATGTCAAGGCTAGAAAGATGAGTTCCCAACTGTGCGCTAACATGTGCAAGCCGTCTGGAAGCGACTCGAAACTGCCCTTAACATCAGGATTGCCATCTTGTCCGGTGCCTGGAACCGTCATTATACCCAAAATGACGCACATGAAGAAGCCGCCCCAGATGCCCTCAGCGCCGACCACCTTCTTCGCAGAGACCTTCTTCTGACCTGGACGGACTTTCAGTATCTTCTCCTCGAATGTCATCTGGAAAGCTGAACAGATTTGCGCTCCGACTGTGAGAGCACAACCTACAAGTTGGCCGCCTGCTCCTCGTCCAGTAGATGACGCTTTCGCGTCCAAAGAGCTCGCCAACCCGACAATGATAAGGCCTACGAAGACAATCAAGACCGCGACCCATTTGAATGGATCCAGGCTCTTGCCCAGCAAAAGCTTAGCAAGAATCGCAGAGAAGATTATGATGGACGATCTCAACATCTGCCAGATTGCGGAATCCAAGTACGTCTGGCCCACAGCGGCCAATCCTGTTCCGAAGACATCACAGGCAGCCGGAATGGCAAACATGTAGAACGGCACACGGGTCTCCGCCACGGCGTCAGCCTCATGTGAGGATAGGGCAGCTTGGCCAGAAGCCACAGATATCTTCCTACGTTTCATTCCATAAACGAAAAGAAGAGTGGCCTCCCCCAAAAACATGTACATGTTGACCAACCAAGGCTTATCGAATGTCTTCTCTCCGGGGCCGCACCTATTGTTCGGGTCGGACCTGGCAGCCTCCGGGTAGAGCGTGGGAACACACATCTGATACTGCAGCTTGGTGTTGATCGTGTTGTACGAGCCGAAGAAGAGCATGCTGCCCAGCAGCAAGAAAGCCATCAGGCGAGGATCCATGCCGCCGGCGGATCGGCACCACGCCGCCGAGCCTTCTCCCGCAGACCACGTTTTGCAGCTGAACGTTGAAACCAAACAGCTACGGATACGGGGTGAGGATTACCATGGTGATGACGATGTTGCTGCTGATGATGATGGTGGTAAATGATTATGGTGGTGATGAGTTAGTTGATCATGATTATGATGACGCTGATGGTGGTGATGATGATGATCATGATCATGATGCTGATGATGATGACCATGCTGACGGTGATAATGATGATGCTAGTAAGGGTAATGATGTTGATGATGGCGATGATGATGATGCTGATGATGATGATGATGACAATGATGATGATGATAATGATGATGATGATGATGATGATGATGATGATGATGATGATGATGATGATGATGATGATGAGGGGGGTGGAGATGATGCTACTGCTGCTGCTGCTACTGCTGCTGCTGCTGCTGATGAAGGTGATGATGATGATGATGATGCTGATGATGATGATGCTGATGCTTATGATGACGGTGATGACGATGCTGATGATGCTGAATGTGCACTTACTGATTTTGATGTTGATAATGCTGATCATGATGAGGGTGGCGGTGATGATGATGATGATGATGATGATGATGATGGAGATGATGATGATGATGATGATGATGATGATGATGATGATGATGATGATGATGATGATGATGATGATGATGATGATGGTGTTGATGATGATGATGATGATGATGCTGATGCTGCTTATGACGACGATGATGATGATGGTGATGCTTATGCTGCTGATGATGCTGATGATGCTGATGATGATGATGATGATGCTGATGATGATGATGATGATGACGACCAAGGGGAGGGAGGCATCTGTCCAAGCGGGAAACCAACTTGAGGTGAGCTGGCCCGAAGGCGTTTCGAAGTGCATCACAGCTGAAGCCGAGGCCAAAGCTGAAGTACACAGAAAAGGAAAGGGCCTACCCCGCAGGCTCGGCTAACAGCACATCGCTGAGCAGTACATAATGACTATGAGTAGGGGGGCAGGGTAGGCGGGGGGACGCCCTCCCCGGCAGACCTCCCAGGCCACTGCTGTCGCATCGCAATCAGCGGTCGGAGGGCCCCAATGGACCCTCACCAAAAGTCACTCCCACGAAGGGTCACTCCCCCCCACGTCGTGATTTTCGTAAACCGTCAAAGGTC